AATTTGAGCAAACGAGAAACATTGTGGGGGGGGGGGGGGGAGAGGGGAGAGAAAACAAGGACTAGCCCAGCTATTGTCTCGCATGTCAGTTACCCTCTTACCTGTGGCACAAAAACTATTGAACTGAGAGGTAATGGATAGCGCAGTCGCCCGCTCAGCGGTAATTTTCTACAAATGGTTTATTTTGAGAAACTATTTCTTAGCCCGTGACCTGCGGCTCGAGAAATTGGGAGAAAGGACACCAAAGGAGGCTGTAGGTAAGTCTGCTGAAGTGGGAGAGTGTGAGAGTCAACAAGTGCGCGAATTGGGTGGGAATACTCTCAATTCTCCTGAAACGCACTGGCCTTATAGGCCAACTCAGTACTCTTAGTTATGTGTGGTCCCTTATGTGTGGCTCACAGTGCGCATCGTCGTTTGGGGTCCCCAGCGGTATTTGGTCGCTGGAGGGAAGGGGTCATAATTTGCAATGCTTTTCTTCAACGACAAGACGTGCCTTAATAGCTTGCTATTCGGTTGCTGGCACAGGTGCGAAACGGTATTGACGCGCCTCTGCTTTCGTATTGGTCTGACCGACCAACTTCTGTAGAAACCTGCTAAATAAGCGACCTTTATGATCTATTGCCCATACCAGTGCGAGGTGGTAGCTCAGTGTGACGTCGTTGCTTTGCCTTCCTATATTTCCTATATAGTTTTGTCATCACTTATTTACATTGTGAGTTCACTCAGCTGTTAGTCTATTCAAACGCGGCGCTGAATATGATGATTGTATCGAGTCACAAGGGGTGCTGTACCTTCGTATTACACTGATTTCTTTTATAGTAATGTTACATGAGAGTGGTACATCATTTCAAGCAACTGTGACTGACTGCGCTCCATCGCTAATCGCTGGGCCGCTGCAAGCGTTTTTTTTAGTCAGGAAAAAAACTTATTTCGAACCTCGCAGTAGTCCAATGATTAGCGGTAGAGCGCGTCAGTCGTTTCAGCGGGACTGATTCGAGTCACTACGTATGAAAGGAGACTTATCTCGTTGAAAAACTTTTCGAAATACGACGTGAACCCCTTCCGACAACATTCGAGGCAGAAGCATTGAAAAACTTACGAGGCTGTTCAGACCCTTTCTCTTCAGCACTTGAATTACGACCCATCATGGCGAAAAACCTTCAACGATGATGTGCTTTGGTGTGCGCCTGTGCCATCTTTGGCCCTTTTGCTGACTCCACTCCAGGCTTTCTATGCACAGCTGTAAATATTGGGGCGATAAGCAGGGTGGACCAACCTGACAAGTGTTGAACGGAGTGACCCTCCCTCCCTTCACACTTGTCTGTGTATATTTCTTATAATACTCCATGTTCGACTGTCCATGAACCCTTTGCATCGTGTGTGGTCTTGTCTTCAGTGAGTTTGTATAGCAACAAAAGGTGTTGAATCACTTTATTAGGCTAACCTTTCGGCAAGTCGCCTCCGTCAGAGCCTGGAAGTTAAAGATCAAGTCTTCAATCCTTAACTTCCAGGCTCTGACGGAGGCGACTTGCCGAAAGGTTAGCCTAATAAAGTGATTTAACATCTTGGTTGTGGCTACAGAAACTCATTGAAGACTTGCCTGTGTAATTCTTTTTTTCCCGATGGAGTCGTCCTGAAGTGACGATGTTTATGAGGTCAAGAACGACTCCAGCTGTGACCGTGCGCGCCAGAAATTTCCTCTTCCCCCTCAAAACCTTTCATTTTCGGGGTAGTCTTCGTTCTGGAATTGTCATTCATTTTGCCTCTTACTAAAGAAGCTTGGATGATAGGGTTCAGCGTAAGGCCCCTTTGACATCAATAATTCAGAAAAATTAAATATTCAGCAGCCAATTAATTAACACCTCGCTGCGCATTCCGCTCTCATTCTATATCGTGGCGGGTTTATGAGTGCGATTTGTCATACGCTATGACTTGGCCAATTTCAAAGTCGCTTTTCATACCCTCCCAAGCAAGTAGATTATCAGCCTTGGAGGGATGAAAAGCTTGGGTGGTCCAGGCGGCGGCGATCCAAGACACGCCGCGCCAGACAGTCCGCATGTGAGCCCCACCCGCAACTGTACAACCTCCAGATTTTGTTATCACTTAAAATTCCTCCTGACCTTTGATTATTACTCCCAATTAGGGATTGCTCCCGCACCGTCCTGATTATTACTCCCGATTTTGGGTGCCAGCGCACTAGCGGGGAGAGGTTTTGGGAGTTGCATTTTAGAAGTTCTACCGTCCCCTCTTCTCTATGACTCCCGATTAAGGGTGCTCACGCACGACTGGGGTGAGACGCGCTAGACTGTTATTCTTCCGGGAATCTGCAAGGGGACAGTATCTCTGCGAAGGAGCAAAAGAGCAGCCTATCGCGTAATCCCTTCCAATCCCCCCCCATCCAAATACGTTAGCACCATCATCACGCAGGCCTTTTTATGCTCACAAGGCACGAGTGGCTTGACCCCTGGGTGCCTGATCTAAGCTTGTTTTCAAAACGGTGAGTTCCAGCACCTGAGAGACAGTACATCTTTGGGTGAAAAGTTAATATCTGTCGTGGGATCTCCGTTCGAACAAAAAGTTTTTGTAAAGATAATTGGTGTCCATGAGCAGTTCACATACCTATGATTTCTTCTCTTACAATTAGCAGAGCGCCCTGTATAGCGCACTGAGTGTAATGTGGATGGCGAAAACTAGGCCAGTTTTCATTTTATGCTTCGAGTACACGTTACACTTCGTTTTTTTCTGTTTTTCAGTGTGGGGCGTTTTATGAGAGCGTTGTTCCATACCGTAGAGGTGATGACACGGTTTTTTTTTTCAAAAGGCTGTTTGAGAAGCTAGGTGGGGGGGGGGAGCTGATTAACGCATTGAACGTCATGCATATTGATTTTAATGCACGTTTTGTGTTTTTCAGGTGTTTTTCCCCTGCGTATTGGCACGTATGCAAATTATTCTTGCCATTTATTTGTTGATCGTGGCTCATTGGTATTGTATTTTACGGCTTGAAACACGTTTGATTGCGATTTTCCCCATTCCGGGCGTTTAGTGCGTTAAAATTGCGTCACAATTCCAACGTCCAAAAAATAACAATTTTGAAATGCTTAACTTGAGCATGCTTTGAGGCGCAAAAGTAGCACAAGTAGGATACCTAGATTACGTATAATAAAATTTGTAAAGAACTATTACCATTACATAGCTATTTTGGAATTTAGGGTAAAATAGCGGGGGGAGGGAAGGACGACCATCCTTTTCGATTTCAAAATTCTCTCGTTGTAGGCAGCTCTTAAAATGTTTGCAAAGTATTTCACTTGAGTGTAAATCCCGATGGTTAGTGCAGCGCCTGTCATCGCTTGATTTGCTAGCGCTACGAGGTTTTTTGAAGTCGCGCTGGAGAACTGGTCCTCATACAGCGCTCGCTCGTCGATGACATGAACTAATTTGAGTATCGGGTTTCATCCATCTCAATGTCGCTTTCCTTCGTTTGTTTTTGATAAGATTAAGTTTTCTGCAGATTATTTCCGCATTCACCTGAGCTTATTTTCTACGGTATTCCATTCGGATATAGGAATCATAGGAAAATGGTATAAATGCAGGTGAATGCTGTGTGTGTGTGCGTGTGTGTGTTTAAACTCGCTTTCGATCAATACCCATTTTGATCCCTTCCTGGAGGGGCAAAGCGTACGGCTTGATTATTGCCCAAAGGTGGCGTAATGGTCATTCTGTTGAGATGGGGTAGAATAGGAAGAGGAGGTTCAGTCTTGGTCGCTGCGGATGAAAGGGCAGTCAGGTGTGATGGGTTTGGTGCGGGTAAAAAATCGTGTCGTATTATCAGTGGTTTTCCATCAATTGTTGCCGCTTACACGCTCTAGCAACTAGTGGAGAACAGGTTTGGCGCGGCGCCAAAGCAGAGCACATCGTTGGTTGGGGATTTTAGTCTAGTCCGTGCGACCCCCCTCCGGCTCTATGTCCCTCCTCATCGACTTCATCGAATCGAGCTGTCGAGCAGGGGGGCGGGGCAAAAAGTAAATACGACCCGCGCTCCCACCAATGGTCTAGTACGACCCCCGCCCTTTACAGCACCGTGAAGCGAGAAAAATCAACTATCAAAATAAATTTTTCTCAGCCCAAATACGACCCCCTCTCCTGGCGCCAAATACGACCCCCTATTGGGGATTCCCCAACAACGATGTGCTCTGCGCCAAAGCAATCCCGTCTGATACGGCAGTCCATTCGTCACGAACAAGACTGTATGGAGTAATATGTGTGAGAAAGAATTCCGTGGCAGTTTGAGCACTTTGGACCCCGGTTTTTTGGCATTATTCCTGAGAGTGCGTTTATACTTTGCGTCAGCGTTTTGAGTGACTGCGAAAGTTTAAGTATCGATCTAACGTTACCGTGCGCTCGAGACGGTGACCCAGAGTATGAACACTCGCCTCACTCTCACCACTAAGTAGTGTAGCTGCCCCTTTTCCTAAAAATCCTCGTCAGCTCTGGTCGTCTGCGCTCTAAGCTCAGACCCTGTGTGGGAAGGGACACAGCTACGTGTGCGGCCATGTGGTCCACGTCTTCCCCTTACTGATTTCTTGGAACTTTCCATGGTGTGCTTTCTCAGAGCGCTTGTTTTTGCCGAGACATGCCTAGTGGGGCACTGTTCTCTGCGAGACTATTCCTCGTCGACTCTGGCTGTCTGCATTCTTGATATAAACCCTGGTTTTGAGAAGGGACACATAGGTGCGACCAAGTGGTCCATCACTCCCCACCTACCCAACTAGGTCAGCAGCCATTCCTCGATTCTTAGAATTAGAACTTTCCATGGCCATGCTTTCTATTATCGGGCGACTTATGTCGACACCCACCTTATTTCTGTTATTATTTCTGAAAAATTGATTTTTTGCAGAATCTGGAATATCAGTTCGTGCTGTTTTCAGTTCTCGTGAATAGAATTGGTTCTGTGCTCAATGAATTAATTTCAGAGAACTATGCTACGTAAGAGTCGATCGTTAATGTCGCTAATATTTGGTCGTAAAAAGCCCAAAGATAGGGATGATCATGGGCATGGTATTGATAGTGAAGCGTCGATTTCACACGCACTTATAGTTATTTTTCTCGAATATTTTGCATGGGGACTGCTGACTGTGCCGGTAATCAATGTGAGTTTATTTTTCATTCTCGATTTTTCTTCTGCAGTCTTGTTCGCTGCAACGCTGGGGCGCGTTAGGGAGCGATGGGTTAAGCACAGCGCCAGCCAGTACTCGTCAATTGCGGAAGCTGGTAGACGACCACAATCGGTGAAACAGTGGCTGGCGTCGCGCGAACCCAGCCCCTCCCCATCTCTTGACGCGTCCCAGCGTCCGCAGCGAGCAACACTGTATAGTCTTTTTTCGACTAGTCTTTTTCGATGGCGGAGGTGTTCAGGTCTTGGCAGAAACATTCCCGACCAACAAATTTCTGATGAATGGAATGGTGCTTGGAATAAAGGTGAGCTTGCAGTTGACGTTCTCTCATCCCTAATGTTCTGAATTGATGATGCTCACCATTTTGACACCTCCGTAGTCGAATGGGGGGGGGGGTGGCGCCAGGACGTGGTACTTTCCCTAATTATGCCGATTTCCTTTATTTTTCCTTGATTATCTTGCTTTGGATTTTCTGCTGCTGATATTCTCGCCTGAGATCGACAAGTCTATTTTTTAACAAATACGTTACTCCGTAGTTGTGAGGGGCAACTTACTGTGCGATCATGTGCTATCTCGGTAACACAGTGATCTTCCTTCCATAAATCCAGCCTTGCTTAGCGAAGGCAATCAGATTTGTGCTGCTGGTGTCTCCCCCCCCCCTCCCTCTTCTCAACCGTTCATTTTTTTACTGTTTCAGGGAATATTGTCGTTTCTTAGCGCCCCTCTAGTTGGAGCATTATCTGATGTATATGGCAGGAAACTGTTTCTTATTCTGACGGTGTTTTGTACATGTATGCCTATACCGTGTTTGAAAATCAGTCCTTGGTGAGTTACGAATGGGTATTTTTAGTATTAAATACAATTTTTGTCCATTTTTTTGGTTTGCTAGTGCGCCAGTAGAGATTTCTGTGGCAGTTTTTCTTGTGAATGTGGAGGTTCTACAAAGTGCGAGAACTGACTATTCGGTAGGATTCACAACAATGTATTAGATGGTAACTGACTGGGGTCCGCCCAGGAAGACGTTGCGCGCCGAGAGAATCGAATAAATCGATTTACATCCGAAGCTGCGTTCATACTTTCTTTCAGCGTCTCGCGACTAAGAAAGTATAGATATTGATCTAGCGTTTTGAGCCTACGCTAGAGTTATGAACGTTTTCGCAGGCAGTTTTGAAATTGTGGCCGGCAGTCGCAAAATACGCTCGCTGGCGTACGCTCGAAACGTTGGGTGAGTAATACCTATGCGTTCCTAGTAGCTCAGACGCTCAGAACGTTGCCGTACGCTCGAAGCGCTCAAAATGCTGCCGTATGCTGGAAATGCTGACGCAAAGTATGAACCGCAGCGTAACTCTCAATCGCCTATCCTTCCCAACAGCGGGTTTTTGCAGCGTATGATAGGAGCCATTCAAAGACATTTCACAGTGCTTTTCATGAATGTAAAATTTCAACGTCTTTCAGGTGGTATTTCGCGTTGTTCAGTATAAGTGGTTTGTTTTCCGTCACATTCAGCGTCATTCTTGCCTATGTGGCTGACATAACCGAAAAACAGGTAATTTCGTTGGCATATAGTCCTTTCTACTCTGTTCGTCTTCTGATGGCGATGGTCTTATTGATACCTTCGGATCGAATCATGCACCTTTTTTCGATAATTGCCCCCCCCCCTCTAAGGTGTAAGTCATATTCAGGATCGCTCAGCAGCGTATGGACTGGTTTCTGCAACGTTTGCCGCATCATTGGTGACATCACCAGCTCTTGGCGCCTGGATATCGGATTACTACGGTGACGGCGCTGTCGTTTTACTAGTATGTTTCTCCTTTACATTAGTATGTGATTATTGAGAGTTGTTTTTATGACATTTGTTGCTGTTTGATCCAACTCACTTTTTGGCTGACCATGAACCAGGTGAATGTATTGGAACGTAATGACATTTCAAAGAACTCTCTCAACTGGTTTTTGTTATAATCCCCATGGACTTCCCGGTTTGCCTTGTCGCTATCGATTTCAATTTGCATGTGCAAAATTTGCACGAACAATTTCGTAATAGTGAGTTAGGGCACGCAGAAATGACCATCCGGGGGTGTTCTCCCTTCGAGCAGCTTTTTACATCAGTGAACGAGATGTAGGGGTGGGGCAGACGGGAGTTCCAGCAAATGATGCGGATTTTGTGTGGAGTCGGTGCTGATGCTAAGAACGTCCGGGGACTTTCTCCGTACGAGCATAAGGTGGTGAAAGCGTCAATGTCTAAAATTAGGTTCTTACTCACGTGGTGATAAGGGAAATTGCTCTCTTGTGCGACACCCTGTGTCATTGCCCCTGTTAGTAACCCTTTTTCCCGAGTGGTGAACATTATCAACGCTTGACCACATTCTGCCTGCGATTTCTCCAAAGGAAACTATTCGACCGGACTCTGAACCTTGCGAATCAGTGCTAGTCTTTTTCGAAAATTCCACGCCCTTTCGCGTTAATACAGAACGTTTTGTAACAGACAGAATATGGCCCCTTTTCATATAAATCAGTCAGGCCGCCTTCACACTTGACGGTGCTTGAGAATAGAGGTCTAGGGAATCGGAAATAGGAGAATGAGCGCTAAAGAAGAATATGAATTTCGTTCTGGCGAATCGGGAGATAGGGGACGGGGAAAGGCGCGAATCAAGAGAGTACGCCGCGTTCTCACTTTGCGAGACTCGGCGATGGGAGAGATTGCTCTAGTCGGCGACCCGGCGCAGCATCGCTGAATCTTCGCGATATCCGCACCAAATTGTGAACACGCCTCATGGGAGTGAATGACTATCGGTAGTTCCCTCATTGGCGAACTGAGAGCATCCGCAAATCGCTGAATAGAAGAATCGGGGAATAGGAGTTAGTCAATCCCCATCTTTTCCTTTGGCGCGGCGCATTCCACCGATTCGCGCTTTCTCCGATTCTCCTAATTTCCTGCTTTCCCATTTCGTCAGATTGGTACTTATGTTTCCTTTTCACGCGTACCTTCCTATTCTTCGATTCTGCTCTTCTCTCCTGTTCTTCTGTGTCGCAAAGTATGAGCGCGGCCGTAGGCTGCGTTCATTGTTTTCTTCGCTTTCCTTTTTTTTGCCCAAATCAAAACGCTGGGGTCTTCAGCATGCTAGATCGATACCTATGCTTTCTTTCTCACCGAAAGCGCTCCAAACGCCGTGAAAAGGTGTACAAACGCAGGCTTACGCCCCAGAATTCCTCGAGGATGACGAGTTGGGGCTAAGATCAAATCGTTCTTGTTTTATCAAAAAATCTTTTTGACTTTGATTTCTGATGATGATCACTTTTTCTTGAATTTTCTTGCATATAAATTGCAATTTCCAGTGAAGGCCATGATTTAGGCTACTGTTATCGCAATAATAGACGTGCTCTTTATCGTGTTTCGAGTCCCAGAATCACTGCCAGTGAAACGTTCAGCGAGTGACGTCATAAGCTGGGAGAGCGCGGATCCATTTGGCACCCTGCGCCTCGTCTGGGAAGATAGCCTGGTTGGTTGGAGTATTTTGTGGATTTTCTATCCGTACCAGATGCTCATGTGATGAACGTTCAGGTGCTTCAATTGGCTCTTATCGTTTTTCTCTCATATTTACCGGAATCGGGTCAATTTTCGTGTTTCTTCGTCTATCTGAAATTGGTGAGTGTTGCAATTATTCCAGCTAGGGATTTACTTCTGAAGTGAGGTTCTAATTTTTTTCTTCTCAAAAACTCCGTCTTTCCGAAGGAAGGACTTGCTTGAAAATCTCATTGTTTCTGGGATTATTTTTAGTTTAATTTTACTCGTGCCAGCCATTTTCACCCCAGATAATAGCGGACTTTTTGTGCTCATGTGACGTCAATTTTGACTGCAATTTTGCCACAAGTTTCGTTGCCATTGCTATATTTTGCTGTTTTAGGTTGTTGGATTTTCGCCAGAGGCCGTGGCAGCGTTTATCGGTCTGGTTGGAATTTTGTCAGTGGTGGCACAAACAGGAGTTTTGCAAATTCTAACTACCTATTTTGGCATGAAACACGTAATCACGTTAGGTCTCGTTTTCCAACTGGTGCAACTAACTTGGTACGGGCTTGGGACACAGTGAGTTCTTTTTTGTTACTGCTCCATACTTTGTTTTTCCCTGATTTTTATCTCTCCAGTTTCTTGTGTAAGGGGCCAGGATGTGCTGCGCACGATCGCGTCGCGGTTTACAGTTACGCGACCGCACACATCATGTTGTGAAAAACAAGGCCCAATATAACCCTCAGTGTTTTTCTACTTGTCATCTGTTCAGGTACTGGATGATGTGGGCAGCGGGTATACTGGCAGCTATGAGTAGTATCACGTATCCGTCAATAAGTGCTTTCGTTAGTATATTATCAGATAAGGATAAGCAGGGCACTGTACAGGGGGTGGTAACAGGCATTAGAGGATTGTGTCAAGGTAAGCGGCTAGGTTTCACATGGTGAACAGCATTCTGGGCAGAAGGGTGTGCCTTTAGGTTTTGGACCGGCGCTGTTCGGCTTCATTTTCTATCTGTTTGATGTGGACTTGAATGTGGATGGAGAAGCGGCAGGTGCTCACGGAGTTCAATTTCCCCTTGTGCGGATACGCCCAGCTCAACCGCAAGAGAAAATTTTGACACCAACGAGGAATGATACGCTTTGGGTAAGCTTATTGTTAGATTTATTAGTTCATTTCTCACAAGAAGTTCACACGACGTTTTTGTGAACAGTGGTCGTTTCTAGGCTGCCGAACGACCAGCGTTCACGTGGCAGCTAGTACCGGGTCCACCATTTTTGGCTGGAGCTATGTTGGTCTTACTAGCGCTCATGTTTAATTCTGCATTGCCGGCATCTCCCAGTGCTACAAAACATCTTCGGAGGTAAGTGGTGTTTTCGTTTAGTTACTCTAGTCGAGCAGAGGGTCCTCTGTAACCTCTGCTTTGTTATGTTCCCTAGCAATTCCCATTGAATTGAATGAGAAGAACTATGCTCTCAATTTTTCACCAAGTAGTTGAAATTTGGTTTAATGTCATATAGTGTCTTTTAATTATGATGTTTACTCAAGTTTTTTGTTGAAATTTTCCGGAGACGGTGATTGGAAGAGTTCGCTTAGCTTCATTTGCACGTGCCCTTAGACGTGTCTTTCAGGTCTTATAAATTTGCTCTCTTTTTGGCACCTTTTGTCATGATTGATTAGGCAAACTATTGTTTGAGAAAGAGAACCAAATTAGTCAACCACTTTTTCCGATACACCGTTTGAGAAGTAGAGTTTTGCGTTGTGCGAAACGAACAGCTACGCAGCGCACATGTGTAGCTTGCCTATCATTAGAAAGTGATGCTAGATGTTGTGATCGCCTGATGTGTCCGCACGCTATTGGATATGCTTTTTGCAGACCAAAACACGCAACACGCTACACGACCAACTACACGCCTAATCAGGGGTCGTATGCTATACTTCCCCTCGAGGGGAAGATGTCCCCCAGTAAACCTCCGCTGCCTGCCGTTACTCTATCAATGCCCATCGCCTCTCTTCTTCAGCCTCTCTGCATCTCTGTTCCCTCAGTCACCCGGAATCTCCCCAACGGCATGTGTTGGGGGAGAGGGGAAGAGATCGATTATTCTCTGCGCTGTACTATATTCGCTCAGAGCGTGCGCCAGAAGAGTATGGATGCAGAGCGGCGAGAGCCAGAGAGACGAGAGGCATCAGCAGAGATAAGGGCAGGGAGTGGAGGATTACTAGGGATATCTCCCCTCGAGGGGAAGCATAGCATACGGCCCCAGGGCAACGCGCCCTACTTCTGTGCAGCCTCTCATTTATTATGGTTTTCGTCTTTCCTCTTTTTCTGATGCAGTAACCCTTGCAGGTCACCTACGCATTCGCGGCAGTCGTCTGATACTGCTCGACTTCTTCACGCTGACAATGGACATTGTTAATATACGGTTAATAAATGAGTTTTTCCTTTATGTAGGTTGGAACTACTAGTTTGATTTGAATTTGATTATAATGAACTCACAAATAGCATACGAGGTGAAGAGCAATGCGCAGTAATGCACGAGGTGCACAGAAATCGAAGCCTTGAAAATTAGTTCGAACTGCCCGTAGCATTAGCTCGGACTACACATATCGTCCACATATCACCGTTTCGAATAATACATGTTAGCGGTTTCAACCAACAGATTGTCCCCTGCTCCCTTATCGTCTGTGGGTTCGATTTACCAGTGCTTCTTGTTTTCTTTCTCTGGTTTTATTCAGTTTGATCGCTGGTCTAGTATGGGCCCGCAGTCCAAAGCAAAACAGATTTCTGCCTGAGCCTTGGGAAGAGAAATGCTTCAAAAAGGGGAAAACATTCTCTACCAGATGCGGAAACACAAAGGAGTTGGTCCACCCACTATGGACTTTTCTTAGCACTTCTTCTGGACTGCAGACCCCTGCTACACCTGCACCCCATTTCGATGTTCTATTTTTGGCGCTAGATTCTTTGCACTATTCTCTTGAGAAGACGTCAGTCAGGTGTTGTTAGCATTATAATTTGTGATCAGTGTTATTTTTATTCATACCAAAAAGTGGTTGTCGCCATCGTATGTTGTGAACTTCCACTTTATTAGTTTTGTTGATTTGTTATCTCATCAAAGTAATATAAATAGAAGCTCCGCCTTCTTTCCCATCCAGTGAGCATAACAGTTTCGTTTTATTGTGATGAAATCCACTTGTCATTCAGCATAACGCGTCGTCTGTATGTAAATTGCTGTTCGTCGTGAAATTACTGGAGATTTTCCGCATTTGTATGGTACCATATAATTGTTTAAAGGCAGTAAATATCGATAATTATTCGAGGTGTGAGTCTTTGTCGTAACGGTTCTGTTCTGGTATTCTATCTTTTGTAGAGCTGGGTGAGCAATAAGTATTTTCGAGTTATAGAAGCTTATTTGACGATCCATTGTGTGGACAATAATCGATTTCAAGTGAAGTGAACGTCCACTTGAGGCCAATTACTGAAAATAAGGTGGTAGGGACATGAGGAGGAATACTTCATATCTTGGAGATGGGGAGGGCGTGGCTGCATACTCTAACCATTCATGACTTAAACTGCTTGGTTTCCGTCTAAGGGCACGTGAAACTAAGCTACTTCTTTGAGTCACCCCCCTCTAAACTTAGATAAGAAAAGTGTAGTAAGAAATCTAACAATCAAAATACTATGTAAAATTTCACTCAAATTTTACTAAAATCTCATTATTAAGACGTTTCTTTCATGGAAATTGTCATTTGGGAACAGTGTCATCCAGTCTTGCTCAGGGCAATGATTACAGTTGTGCCTAACGGCAATTTCCACTCCAAAAAGGATATTACAAGTACAATACGGGGTACACATAAGTAAAAGTGCAAGGAAATTTCATTAAAATTCCAAAGAGGTTTTCATTTGTGTTTCTCTGCAGAGTGGCGCAATGAAAAGAGCGCATACTGACATTAACGATGACGTGCCGTTACCTGCAGAGTTGATGACGAATGCGTTCCGATTGCAGGTGAGCCTTCATGACGTCACATTTGTTGTGCGCCGTTGTTTTCAAAATGAGTCGATCAGGGATGTTGAATTGAACGTGTTGTAAATAGCAGTTTTCCTGGTCAAAGATTGAGGGGTTGGTGGTGAAGGCGAAAGCAAAATGAGTTCAGACCAGTATTCTTCACTTTCGGTCTATTCTATTTTCTCAGGGACTTGATAGATTAGCCAATAGTGAGGCTAAGTGCTACCTTGCACTGCAAACTATTCAGTCCGCTCTATTTTACTCAAAGCTTCTTTCTGGGTGTTTTTTTTACAAATATCGGACGATTTAAAAAACTAAATTATAGTATACAGTGTAGTGCACCAGGAGAGAGATACTTCGGTTTTGCGACGTTAGGTTTGTTTTTTTATCGAGAAAGTTCACACCTTTTTATACTCAACATTTAAACTTTCTCTAAGACTATAGGAGTAGCAAGGAGTGCAAGGAATGAAAATCTTATTTTTCTTCTCTGCTTTTGCACTGTTTTTTTTTTCTTTTGAGCAGTTTTTTTCGGCCGTAAGTAGGGCGGCGCCATAATTGAAGAATGACCCGAAGGGAGATTAACCAGTCGCGAATAAAACCGAAAGCGCCATAATTGAAGAATGACCGGAAGGGGAGATTAACCAGTCCGAATAAAAACGAAAGTAACAGTTGTCAAATATGAGGAAGAAATGAAAGACGCTGTTCGGCATAGGGGGGGGCATTTTGCATCTTCACAACTCCTCATTTCTCTTGCTGATAAGATCTATAAGTTCTTGTGAAGCTGAGGAATGGTACAAGTGAGCCAGTTTGGTCGGAGGACTTCACAGGTCTTCACAATGTGGCCTGTACAGGCCACATTGTGGTCATTGTGACTATTACTATTACATTCTTAGGCCTTTGTTCACAGTCTGCGACCCTAACGAAACGGCGGTTGGGCGAAAAGCGAAAAACACGGATTGATCGGAAAATCGCCAACCGCTCGTTTCGCCGAACCGCCGCGGTTTGGCGGTTGGGACGAAAAGCAATAGATGCGTATCGATTTCGCTGCGAAAAACGCCAAAGCGGTGGAGCTAGCGTTTCGCGAAGGCGAAAAACACCATGGTTCGGCGAAACGCCGGTCGATGTGCGTATCAAAAACTCTTTGCGCGACCAAACGCGCTGGACTTTTCGCCCAACGGCCAGTCGATACGTATCGGAAGCGTTGCCGAAGCGTTTCTTTTGAGAGAAATGCAGATCCGCAGACTGTGAACAATGCCTCTGAACCGAACATCGCCGAAGTGAAACTTAAACATTTTTGTCATTCTTGAAAGGAACAAAATAAGGAAGAAATTATGGAAAAAAGTAATTATAATCCCTTATTACCTTAAGTGCGAAGATGCTGAACGCGATCGACAACCGGATGCAAAAGCGGTTTCAAAATGGGAGGAAGTGGCGAGGAACGTAGCTGCTACGCTGAAAAATGCGAAATTGAAGCATAAGTGTGAGGTGAGAAGCTTTAAGAGTATTCAGACCAGTTCTAGGCCAAAGTGTAGAAGAATTTGTTTAGTACAGGGATTTGGACTTCTGGTCAAAGCGTGGACTGGCTCATCCGCTTGCTAAGCATGCTGATGCCATTGAGAAAACAACGTCCAGTGTTTCGAAATACGAATGGACTGCACCTAAGCAGGTTCATTTTCGTCCCTTGGAAGTTCGATTGCAACGAATTCAGATTTTAGGAATTGATTTAGGTCTCCATTATCAGCGAATCTGCAATCAATTTGTTATCTTCAAATTGCTTTACTGTGAATATTTTTGTCACCTTGCCAGATGTGAGTGGTTCACCTTCTTTTGCTTTTTGATCGGGTCTTTTTAGAGCTATTAAAAATATACGTGTTGTATGAGTGCGACGTTCTTGTTTAACTCAAGGAACATAACGAGGCGTTTATACTTTGCAAGGAGCGTGTGTCAATAGCTCCGAGTCGCAGTATAGCACGAAAGGTAGTAACTTGACACAACATGCTTGAAAGTGTGATTGACTACCCTGGCGCCGCGGCCAACTTGAAACAAACGCTCTAGACCCTATCACAAATGCGCCGAATCAGGAAGATGCGCGACTCAGAAACATGGGCCTTGGGGGTCTAACGGAAATCGGTTGATGACGATTGGTCCTCTGAATCGTGGACTCTACGCATATGGCTCTCTGCCTCTATCCCTCTTTGTAGCCGGTTCTTTAAGACCCGGATTCTACAGATCGATATGTATACTTATTCTTGCATTTTTGGGCCTTCTCCCGAATCGCCGATTCTCCGAAACCACCACCACCCTCACCACTTTCACAATGTGCGAACGCGACTTAATGGAACTGTCCGCTTACCTCACAGTGTAATTGTCATAACGTCTGGTTCTCTGCAAATTGTAGGGCGTGTCAGCGGGCTCGATTTTGCGTTGCGCTATCCGGTAACGAAGTTTGCTGAAACCTTAGAATTTTTTGTCATCTTTTAGAAGTTTCAGTTTCTTTTCAAGAAGGCTCTTTATTTTGATTTGGAAGTTTTCTTTGTTGTACACCATCTGTGAATGTCATTCGTAAATTGCAGAGCCTGTTTGGAAAGAGGGATTATATAAATCTCATTTATCCTGCCAAACGTGCCCACTATATGTGCAGTGCAATTGTTGCGCTTCGAAAGGCATTCGGTGATTTTGATGCCGAATTTTGTGCCGGGTTTTGCCGATGACAAACTGTTCCCTAACGTTCAGGTCACAGGTTTGTTTGCTTTTCTTTGGTTCACATTACCTTGGTTTTCATTTCTTTCCATGGGTTGGTCTCATGAAAAGATTTTTGCACGTTTCCTCCATCTTTTCCTTTCCTGGGCGCGAGGAGTGGCAAATGGTGCCCCATACTATGCGCGGGGTCTGAGATCATGTCGTGGATGTGGCGCTAGTAACTCGAGGGTGGGGAGTGGAGGGGCAGAGACTTGTGGTGCAAAGCAATGCTTAAGGATGAGGTGATAAGGATGAAATTACTGTACTGAAAATTGGCTCACCTGACTAGCAGCTCCTTCCCATTCAGGCTTCGGCAGAACTCTACGGCTTTCAGTCTTGCATTAGGAAGCCTTAGAATGCTCTTTCCCTAGACTTTATTCGCGACAGAAAAACTTCTAAAAGAAATAATTAGCATACACATTTGGAGCGGTTTGGCTTGGTGGGGGTAGAAAATGGTATTCAGCTGAGCTTTTATAGGCCTTTATAAAGACCTGTGAATCGTTGCAACCGAAGATGAAGAGAGTACAGGTCTCACCAAAAAGAAATCAGTTTTTGAAGATCAACCAACAAAAAAACTGGCGCAAGTCTAAACGGTCCCGTCCAAGCCGAAAGCGCTGAAAATTTTCTTTTTTTTATTGCCGTT